TGTGTGTGTGTGTGTGTGTGTGTGTGTGTGTGTGTGTGTGTGTGTGTAGCAGCTTCAGCTTCCCAGGGAGCCGAGGGAGAGGTAGAGAGAGAACTGTCTTTCTAGTTGGGCTCTCCTCTTTTCCACCTTCTCCTTTCCTGGCTCTTTCCTCTCCCCTCAGGCGGGGATGGAGAGGCTGGCTTTCGGGGGGCAGAGACAGAAGCACCGGCTCTGGGGCCGTCTGTGTGTGCGTGTCGAGTGTGCGATCGCCGCTTCTGTTTTGTCTCCGGCAAGATGTGACGTGGGAAGAAGGGGCTGGTCGTACGGGCGCCACTTTCCCCCTCCCTCCCTCCTTGTCTCTCCTCCCCGCCCTCCCCTCCCTTTCCCTCTCAGCCCTCGCTGCCTCCCGCCTCCATCTGCATAACAAAAGCCCGCAGGTCGGGGGAGGGGAACAGGGGCGGGGCGGGCGCCAGTCACCAGCGCTAGCGGTGAAGTGAAAGTCCTGACCCCAAAGAACCGCAGTCGAGTTTCGGGGATCACCGGGCCGCGTGCAGTTTCCCAAGCAGACCTCTGATTCTGGTCCTGTGCTTTCCCTTGGTCCCCACCCCCACTTCCCTCTGCCTCTCCCTCCTACTCCCCTCCCCACTCCCTCCACTGGCCAGAGCTACTCTCTCCCTCCCCCCATCCTGCTCAGAAGTCATATTGTTTCTACTCCATTCTCATTTTGGGGGAGGAGGGGAGGCAGAGGGGGAGGGACCTTGGTCAGCTTCAAGCCCCTAATCCGAACCTCGGTCTGTGTAGAACCTTGGGGCCTGGAGGGGGCTGCCCACTTCTCCTGAGCTCAAGATTTCCCCCAGCCTGGGAGGGGCGCTTTTATGGCGCTACTTCTCAAACTCCGTTTCTCGCCATCTGCTGCATCTCGGGCTCCTGCCTGCAGAGAGACTCAGAGTTACATCTGTCCGGTAGACGCTGCAAGTTATTTAAATGGACGCATATCTCCTTCGTGCAACGCAGTCGGCAGCTGGTGCGTCTTAGCCTCTCTCCCCCCACCCGGCCCCCTCCTCCTACCGAAGGGGAGAAGTTGCTTTCCCCTTCTCTCCAGGAAGATTTGAATTCAGAATTCATACAAATCAGTCTTTGGAAAGGCTGCATTTTTGGGGGGAGGGGGAGAGTAAGATTTTCTGTCTTCCCCCTCCTCCCATCACCTCCGGTTCCATAGGATTCCCCCTTCAGCCAAGTAGAGATTTGAATGGCAGGTGTGAACTCAGCACTCAGCAGGGCAATAAATCGCTTGAATCAGGTGCAGAAATTCTCCTCTGGTGTCTTTCCCGACCAGAAAGGACTATTTCAAGAATCTCCTGGGACACCACTTCCTACTAGGAACTCCTGTGGTATTTATTATAGGTACTTGTCATTTGGCGTTTAGCACAGGCTGTCTAGTAATGTTCATGATCTCTATGTAATACAGCCCATTTCCCCAATTAGACTGTGAGCTCCCTGAGGGCAGGATCTGTTACATTTTTCTTTGTAGCCTTTGTATTTAGCACAATGTCTAGCACTGAGAAAGCATATACTACAAATTTGTTGATAGATAGATATATTATACAGCTTTGTAACTTCAAACCCTAGTTTGTTATATCATCTGTGGTAGGGAACCACTAAGGCTTTATTGACAGTGATGTTGAAAATGTGAGAACTTTTTTTTTGGAAGGGGAATTCTTTTGGAATTGTTGTATACATGTGTAAATCTGAGAATGTGTGTATGCCTTTATTGTGATGAGTAAAACACTACATAAAAGACCCTTATTATCATAGAAGCACAGATTTAGAGCAGGAAGGGCTATTAGAACCTAGAATGTGAGAGCTGGAAGTGTGCCTTGGAACAAAGAATATAGAATGTATCAAAGAATATAGAATGTGCTGGGAGGGGCCTTAGAACAGAGGATGCCAGAGCTGAGAAGGACCTTAGAAAATCGAGTATTTGAGTAAGAAGGGACTTGAGGACATAGGACTGGGAGGACCCTTAGAACAAAGAATGCCAGAGCTGGAAAAGGTTTTAGAAAGGAGAATGTCAGAGCAGGGAGGGCCCTCAGAACAAAGCATGTCAGAGCCAAAAGCATCAGACAAGAGAATGTCAGAGCTGGGAGGGGCCTTAAAAAGGGAGTATCAGCTTGGGAGGGGGGACCTTAGAACATGGAACATCATGAAGAAGCATTAGACAAGGTAATGTCAGAACTGAGAGGGACCTTAGAAAAGGCAATGATCAGCTGTAGGAGGGAATTTAAGGCTTCAACCTCCTTCTTTTACTGAAGAGGAAACACACCCAGAGAGTGGGGAAAACACTAGCCCAAGGTCACACAGCCACTAAGTTGAAGAGTCGGGATTTGGACCCATGTCTTCTAGACTGTCGATCTGGGGCCTCTTCCACTACATCATTATTCCGCAGGAGCATTTGAGCATGTACGTGTGTGTGTACATACGTGAATGTGTCTGTGAATGTGACTTGTAAGAAAGGGTGTGTGCGCGAGTCTCTGTGTGTTTATAAGCGAGCCTACTTGGGTCTATCTGCGCGTAGGAAGATGTAGGTGTTTCCTGGATCAGCCGGTGCAGTTCTGGGACTCCGCAAGGGAAGTAGTCTGCATGTCAGACCAGCAGGGAGGTTCCAGCTCAGGGGCTGAACTGCAGCCCCGGACCAGCTCAGCTCCGCCGCTTTCCAAGCCCCGGAGGGCGAGAGAGGCTCTTCTCGCTCTGGAGAGACACCTTCTGGCACATGCAGGGAACTGCACCTGGCTCTTTTCTCCTTCTCCCTGGCTCACGGTATGGAAGCAGCAGATTGTTTCCTCCGAGGGTGAGGGGTCCAGGTGAGACCTGGATCTGCTCTGGAGGGCTCCTCCCTTCCTTCCTACCCAACCCCTCTAAAGCTGGTGTCATTTTCAATCCACCAGGGAGCAGCCGCCTAGAGATCCCTCACTTACCCTGGGACATTTTAAGTCACAATTAATCATGATAAATAGGGTTGGAACTGAGTCACTGGCAGAGGAAGTAGGAGGAAGGACCCGTATTAAGGGGGAAAGAAATCAACACTGTTGCTCTCCAGGGTTGGAGGCTCTGGGAGCAGGAATAACGGTAACAACTATTTCTGTATCGCTTTGAAGTTTCGAAGCACGTTACAAAAACTATCTAATTTGATCCTCACAACAATACCAGAAAGAAAAAGTTATTATTACCCTCATTTTCCCGATGAAGAAACTGAAGCAGACAGAGGTTAAGCGATCTGCCTGAGGATCACACAGCTGTGAGGGTCTGAAGTCTGAGGTAACCTCAAGGCCTCTTCCCTCTGGGTCCAGACACCTATACACTGTTCCCAGGAGGCTGGCCGGTAAAGTGCACCAGGCATCAGGCTGGAAGACAGGAGAGACCCAGATCTTCCACTAAGTCTCTGCGTAGTCTGGCAAGTCATTTGCACTTTTTTTGAGCCTTAGTTTACCCATCTGTTAAATGGAGAAGTTGAAGTGGGTGATAACTACAGTCTCTTTTAGCCCCAAGTCCAAGATAAAGTGCTAATACTAGTTCACTTTTGTTCGGTGATGTATGGATTAGAAAGAGCTTTTACATTGGTTTTTGCATTCGACCCTTACAAAGACACTGAGTGGAATAGGTGCTAATATTCTTCTCATTTTATTCAGGAGGGAAATGAAAGCTCTGGAGGGTAAGCCACGTGTCCAGATCTAGCAGTTTATGCAGTACTCCATGTTGCTTCTTACGGTAGTACTTTTCCAGTAATGGATCTGCGATCTCAAGACATTACTCCCTTCCCCTCACTATAACACAGGCCAAACTGTATATAATGCTGTTCCTCATACGTGACACTGGAAATGGCTCATGCATGGGATGCACTACCCCTTCACCTCTGCTTCATAAAACCCCTCACCTCCTTGAGACTCATCTAGATCAATCAGTCTTCTACCTGATAGTTTTTCTCAACCCTCCTCCCACAACTGCTAAGGATATCTCTCGATAATAACATTAATAACAATAACAACAACAATAAACATTTACACAGTGCTTTAATGTTTGCAAAGCTCTTTATGTAAATTGTCTCACTTGACCGTTGCTGTTCAGTCTTCTCCAACCCTATTTGGAGTTTTCTTGGCAAAGATACTGGAGCGGTTTGCCCTTTCCTTCTCCAGCTCATTTTACAAATGAGGAAACTGAGGCAAACAGGTTTAAATGACTTGCCCAATGTCACCCAGCTAGTAAATGTCTGAAGCCAGATTTGAAGTCAGGAAGAGGAGTCTCCCTGACTCCAGGGTCGGCACTCTATCCTCTGTGTCACCTAGTCTCACTTGATTACCTTGTTTATTTTGAGCTTCTCAGCTTCTTGACGTGCACACAGTCCCAGTCTCTCTGCCCTGTATAGGAATATGTTGTCTCCCCAGATAGCACATAAGATCCTGAAGAGCATGGAGTGTTTCTTTCTTCTTTTTGTCTTTGTTAACCCTGATGTTCACCTAATGTAGTGCCTGCTGCATAGTGGGTACTTAATACATGCTTCTTGATTGAGCTCATAGAGATGAGTATTACCTGAACTGATGCAGATTGTGACCAATACACAAACTCTGATACCATCTAGTCCAATCCCCTCACTTTATAGATGAGAAAAGGAAGATCCAGAGAAGTTAGGTGGATTGTCCAAGGTCACACAGGGAATAAGCATCACAGGTAACATTTGAACTCAGATCCCCTGACAACAGGGTCAATGTCTTTTTCCACTATAGTGTACTTCTTCCCATATTTGA